TTACCTTTAAAAATATTGGTTGTAATCATTAACCATTTATAACCAACCTCATATAAATGAAAACAAACATTTATAAACAATATTTGGGAATTTGGGCGTCATTCTTTCCAAACTACTTCCTGCTGATAGGGGGCGCTGTCATGGGGGATCCTAAGAAGACGCAGAAATCCTGGCTGTAGTCTGCAAGGCTGCCTTGTTCAAGCTGTTTTGAATGTAGGATCACCTGATACTCTGTTTCAGGGGGTCTAGCTTGTTCGAACCACATTAGTCTGGAAGGAATCCACAGCTTTTCATTTTCTGTGGAAACAAAAATAGAAATCCTTTTTCCCAGTAACTTGTCTTTGAACTTAAATTTTGGAGTCAAAGCATTTTTAAAATATATAAATTGAATTAATCCAGCAGTATTTCCTTTAACATTCCCCTGTCCATGTCACAAATTCATTATGTCCTCATAGGTCCTCAATTCAAACCCCAACATAAAAGAGAAAGCTTTCTAATCCCCAAAGCAAATTGACAATTCATGTTTGGGATTAATTAATTCAGGTGGGATTCAAATGCCCTTCTGGACTGGGGGAAAAGTCTTCTCCTCTAAACAGAAGGATGTGGCCCTTTTCTTAGGTGATACTTCCATCCACTCTAGATTCTTTATCAATCTGGAAGCGAGGACCATGGTTAGGAGAGACAGGAGAGTGGCTCAGCACTAGAGAGTAGAGAGCACTTGCTCCTGTAGAGGACCGCAGTCCAGTTCCCAGGATCCAAAAGGAAGGGGTAAGTCACAATACCCCGCCATTCCAGCTCCAGGGGATCTGACACCCTGTTCTGGCTTGTGAGAACACTCACACTGACATGCACATAATCCCTCTTGTAGACACACTATTTATAAAGGAAATGTGATTAAGAATATTCTGGGCCATGGCAGGGGCATAGAAGTAAAGAAGGAGTACTGAAGAAGTAAAGGAAGAAGGTGACTAATCCAGTCCTGGGATGGTGGAGAAGAGAGGGTGGGAAACGTGAGGAGGAACAGTAGCGGAGACATTTCACACAAAGCATATCTTCATTTCCTTTAAAACAACCTTTAACATTCAGTGTGTGTGTGTGTGTGTGTGTGTGTGTGTGTGTGAGAGAGAGAGAGAGAGAGAGAGAGAGAGAGAAAGAGAGAGAGAGGTGCTGTACACACAGGCACACGTGTGGGAGTTCCTACTGTGTGGATCCTGGGGATAACACTCAGGTCACCAGCCTTGATAGCAAGCACCTTTACCCACTGAGGCATCTCACTGGCATTTCTCGTCAATGAGAGGAAGGGGACTGAGAAAGGGGCTGCTTGTCACTTCATGACTTTCACAGGAAATATCGTTTCCACAAAGACCCTCATCTAGCATCTGCTGTGAGATCAGATGTTCTTCTAACCCAATCTTTGTGCAGATATGGCATGCAGGATCTGGGACAGTTTCATCCAGTGCTGTGATCTGATGATGTGGAGAAGGAGAAGCGTCTCCAGGGTCTGCAAGCCCACCCACACCTTCAAACACAAGAGAATAAATGACATGCAACACCACTCCTATCAGATGTTGGAATCTTCAAAGAGCTGAAGAACTCAAGCTAACCACATGGGTTTCTGTCACCATTGGTCCAAATGTCCTCCTGGAGAAGTTGGAGTATTCTCAGGGCCTGTGTGTAGTGGAGTCACACTGAGAGCTGGTCTCCTGGCCTACCAGGTCATGGAAACTGTCTGAGGAAGCTCAGTACTGATTTCCATAGTGGCTGGACTAGTTTACATTCCTTCCAGCAGTGTAGAAGGGCTCTCTCCTGTGCACATCCTCACCAGCATTTGTTGTTATTTATTTCCTTGCATTGTGAGTGGGAATGACATGAAAAACAGTTCAACATCACTGGCTTCAGAAAACTGCAAACTAAAGCACAATTCTGTCCTGCAGTTCACAGGCCTCAGGTTAAATCTTCTCCTCCTCCTCCTCTTCTTTCTAAATCTACTTCTTGCTTCGGGACATTTATCCTCTGTTCTGGAATAATCTTTTTGTACACTGTGAAGTTGCACCGTCTGATTGGTTTAATAAAGAGCTGAATGGTCAATAGCTAGGCAGGAAGGTGTTAAGTGGGACTTCCAGCGACAGAGAAAACTTTGGGAAGAAGAAAGTGAGTTTGCCAGACTCAGAGGTAGCAGCATGGGAATTATGGAGAGATGAGTAATGAGCCACAAGACAGAGTATAGATTAAAGGATATGGGTTAATTTAAGATGCAAGTGCTAGTTAGGAACAAGCCTAAGCTATAGGCCCAAAGACAAGTCTGACTACAAGCCTCTTTTCCAAAAGACAGATAAGTCTAAAGGAAATCTCAATTGTGTAATGAGCCTCAGACCCCTCCGTGGAGCAGACGTGAAGAAGGAGAGAGAGGAGTGAGGGGTGTGAGCAGAAAGCCTTGCTCTCGAGTTTAAGGGCAAAGACTCTGAGGGTGTGGCTCTGTGGTCAGATCTGTGCTGCTTCATTTTGATAGTGTTAGCTTTCATACCACTTCAGGATTTGGGACTTCTGTTCCCACAGACCCTCTTCCTAGGCTCAGAGGGAGAATGCGGAACAGATGCTTGACCATTTTATACATATATTTATAAAGAGAGAGTGAATGCATATATTAAATTAAGGAAGTATATACAGTAAAAAGATATGTGATATGTTGATGGTTTGTGTTTATAAAATTACATGTAAGTTAAGTATGTACAATGAAAAGTATCACACACACACACACACACACACACACACACACTCCTATTTATTCAGTTTCTGGCTATTTATTCAATTTCCAGTGCAGGTGATAGAAACTAAAATTTCTCTTTTCTAAAGTGGGGCATTGGATCTTGAATTCCTTACATTTTCTCTCTTGGAGTTAACCATAAAAAAAAATAAATAAATAAAAAATTACTGGCCCAATGTGGTAGTGCATGCATTTAATCTCAGCTCTTGGGTAGCAGAGGGCAGGCAGATCTCTGAATTCCAGCCATCTGGTCTGCAGAGTTTCAGGATAATCAGGATAACATAGAGAAACTCTGTTTAAAAAACAAAACAAAATAAAAAAACCCAAACAAACCTAACAACAAACAAACCAAAAAAAAAAAAAAAAAAAAAAAAAAAACAAGAAAGAAAGAAGGAAAAGAAAAAAAGAGAAAAGTTTCTGAACAACCTGTGTAATAGGTGTTAAGACCCTTTTTTTCAGGAGAGACCTGGCTCTACTCCAAGGAGGAAGGAATGCTATACAGAAAAGCCAAGAATGTGGACAGACAGGTTTCTGTGGATTTCTCCACTGAGGCTTTCATCATCAGATAGTGATCTTTTTGTCTAGTCATATTCCTACATTGTTGTATGTGATTCCATTATGGCTGTACAATGAAGTCTCCATAAGAAAGCCAACACTTAGTTTGAATAAGGGTTTGTCTATCTTGTTGATTTTCTCTGAAAAACCAATTCTTTGTTACATTGATTCTTTGTATTGTTTTCCTAGTTTCTACTTTATTGATTTCAGCCCTCAAATTGATTATTTCCTGACCTCTACTCCTCCCCGGTGAGTTTGTTTCTTTTTGTTCTAAGGCTTTCAGTTGTGCTGTTAATTCTCTTATGTGACTATCCTCCATTTTCTTCATATGGGCACTTAGTGCAATGAACTTTCCTTGTAGCACTGCTTTCATAGTGTCCCACACGTTTGAGTTTGTTGTGTCTTCATTCTCGTTGAATTTCAGGAAATCTTTAATTTATTTCTTTATTTCTTCCTTGACCCAGGAATGGTGCAATTGCAAATTGTTCAGTTTCCATGAGTTTGTAGGGTTTCTGCGATTTGTGTTCTGGTTGAATTCCAACTTTAAAGCATGGCGGTCTGATAAGATATGGGGGACTATTCCAATTTTTTTTGTGTCTGCTGAGGTTTGTTATGTTGCCTAGTATGTGGAAGATTTTAGAGAAGGTTCCATGTGGAGCTGAGAAGAAGGTATATTCTTTTGTGTTTGGATGGAAATGTTCTATAGATGTCTGTTAAACCCAATTGACACATCTGTTAGTTCTTTTGTTTCTTTGTTAAGTTTCTGTCTGGTGGTCCTATCTAGTGGTGAGAGTGGGGTGTTGAAGTCTTCCACTATGAGTTTTGAGTTTTAGTAGCTTTTCTTTTACGAATGTGGGTGCCTTTGTATTTGGGGCATAGATGTTCAGAATTGAGACTTTGTACTGACGGATTTCTCCTATGATGAATATGAAGTGACCTTCTTCATTTCTTTTGATTGATTTTGAAGTCTAATTTGTTAGATATTAGGATAGACACACCTGCTTGCTTCTTGGGCCCATTTGATCGGAAGATCTTTTCCCAATCCTTTACCCGGAAGTTTAGATGTATTTCTTGTATGCAGCAGAAGGATGGATTCTGTCTTCGTATCCATTTTCTTTGTCTGTGTCTTTTTATAGTCAAGTTAAGATCATTAATGTTGAGGGAAAGTAAGGACCATTGATTGTTAATTTCTGTTTGTTTTAGATTTGTTGTTGGCGGTGGTATTGTGAGTATATTTGCCCCGCTTTTTCTTTTGGGTTCTGGTAAAATGGGATTATCTATTGCCTATGTCTTTGTGAGTGTAGTTAACTTCTTTGGGTTGGAGTTTTCCTTCCAGAACTTTCTGTAGGGCTGGATTTGTGGATATGTATTGTGAAAGTCTGATTTTTGTCATTGAATATCTTGTTTTCTCTGTCTATAGTGATTGAGAGTTTTGCTGGGTATAGTAGCCTGGGTTGGCATCAGTGGATTCAGTATTTGTAGAACATCTATCCAGGTCCTTCTGGCCTTGAGAGTTTTCATGGAGAAGTCAGGTGCAATTTTGATAGGTCTGCCTTTATATGTTACCTGGCATCCCAGCACAAGCCATAATAGCATGTGGCTGGGGTACAATTCAGCCATTTCCCTTCTACACTACCATTACTAACCAACCACACAATAGGAGACCAAATACACACAGGGGTAGGAGAAAAAGTCGTATTATACAAATCCCTAAAGGTACTCTTGGCACCTCGAAACACTGACAAAATTCCCCATCTCTGCTCCGCTATCCCCAGCTGTATCATCATAGGAAGGAGCAGGAGGGTCATCACATTGACAGTCATGACACTCTTCATGTTGGACTTTTCTAATCAGGCGTTCTGGCACCCACACCGGGTCTTGTTGGTCCTGTGGAAAAACACAAACAGAACCTCATGCCCATGTCAGCACGGGATCAGGCCCGCACCAGAAGCCTGTCAGAATATACTTCCACTTGACCATTCCTTTTGCAGGGCCATGATAATCTTGATTTCTATCAGTCGCAGAGCAGCCCTGAGCATCCAAATTTAAAAAATTAATAGTAAATAGAGCAAGGGAAAGTTTCTCCTTTGGGGTACGGCCGTGGCCTATTCCCCCCTTTTGTTTTTGTAGGCATTCTTTCAATGTGCGATGAGCACGCTCCACAATGCCTTGCCCTTGAGGATTGTACGGCATCCCTTGAAGGAGCTGCACTTCCATTTGTTGACAAAAGGAGGCAAAGGTTTGAGCTGTATAAGCTGGTTCATTGTCAGTTTTTAACTGCTGGGGCTTGCCCCATGCAGCCCAAGCTTCTAGGCAATGAATTATGACATTGCGTGCCTTCTCTCCAGTTAAAGGCTTGGCGTGAATGATGCCTGAACAGGTATCCACAGGCACATGCACATATTTTAAGCTTCCAAATTCAGATATATGTGTTACATCCATTTGCCAAACTTTTAGAGGGAGCAAACCCCTTGGATTTACTCCCATGCTGGGTGGATGTTGATGAATCACACATTGAGGACAATCCAGAATCACTTGTCGAGCATCTGCTCGAGAGAGATGAAATTTTTGTTGTAATGCTCTAGCATTTACATGAAAAGTCTTATGAAAATTCCTTGCCTTTTCTAAAGTAGAGCTCAAAAATATACATTCCATTCTAGTCCACTGATCAACTTTGTCATTACCTTTACTTAAAGGCCCTGGCAGGCCTGTATGAGCTCTAACTTGCTGAACAAAAAAGCAAGTTGTCCTTTGCCAAATTAAATTTTGTAATTGCTGGAATAAAAGGCAAACTGGACTGGTACTCTTTATAGGTCCTGCCACTTCTAAAACCTTAACAACATTAACAACATAAGCTGAATCAGATATCAAATTAAAAGCAAAAGGACAAGCCTCAAAAAACTTCCACTACTATCTTTAACTCTACAATCTGAGGGGAGCCAGGCTGGAACTGATGCAACACAGGCTCCTGTCTTTCTATCATGTAGGCTCCACAGCCTGTCTTAGAACCATCTGTAAATACATTTGGAGCCGTTGAAATAGGCTCAGACGATGTTACCTTGGGAAATATTACAGGATGTTCCTTAAAAAATCCCAATAATGGATGCTTAGGGTAATGATTATCTATCTCCCCATCAAATCCACACTGCAAAATGGCCCAATCATCTACTGTGGCACAAAGAACTTTAACTTGATGGCTGGAATAAGGCATTATAACTATATTTGGAGTGACTCCAACATATTGCAAACATTGTTGGATTCCATTCAATGCTAGCTTAGCCACCGCAGTGGGATAATGTTCAATAGATTTAGCAGGAGATATTTTAGCATAAATCCAAAGTAATGGTCCCTCTTGCCATAATAAATGTAGGAAGAATGCACATAACAATGTTTTGACCTTCTTTAAACTTCTGTAAAAAGGCGCTCTGTAATCTTGCCTCTACAGTTAGTTGTCTAGGAGAATCTAGGGCAGAATCTCCATTCAAAACATTATACAAGGGTTTTAATTCATAATTTGGTAATTTCAAATAACATCTAATCCACTTTATATCTCCTAACAATTTTTGAAAATCATTTAGGGTTTTCAAATTATCTCTTCTTAATTCTACCTTTTGTGGAATAATTTGTTTCTCACTAATCTTAGCTCCTAAATAATTTACAACTTTATCTTTCTGAACCTTTTCAGGAGCTATAAACAACTCCTTCTTTTCAAGCAATTTAACTAAATCTATATAGGCCCGCTCTAGCATTTGTTCTTCCTTTGCAGCCAGTAATATGTCATCCATGTAACGAATGCATCTCAAAGCAGGGAATTATTTTCTCAATGGTCAAATAGCCTCTCCAACATAAAGTTGACACATAGTGGGGCTGTTGGCCATGCCTTGCGGCAGAACCACCCATTCAAACCTTTGATCCGGCTCCTCATGATTATAAGATGGAACAGTAAAGGCAAATCTCTCACTATCCCTGCTACACAGGGGAATAGAGAAAAAGCATTCTTTTATATCAATCAGAATTATATGCCAGGATGCTGGCAAGGATGATAGCAATGGCAAGCCTCGCTGTACTGGGTCCATAATTTGCATCTGATTATTAATTGCTCTTAAATCATGCAACAGGCGCCATTTTCCAGATTTCTTTTTGATCACAAAAATAGGGGTGTTCCATGGAGACACTGATGGTTTAATGTGTCCCAAGTCTTTTGCAGCACTAAATTTTTCAGAGGACAGCGGCCACTGAGGAACCCACACTGGCTCCTCTGTCTTACAAGTAATGGGAATACCTTCCTCAGTGGCGCTAGGAAAAACCCAGACCTTGTCTAGGATTTCTTTGTTGTGTATTAATGGGATCTTTTCTTCCTTGTAAGAACTTCCCTAAACCATAATCTGGATGGTAACCCATGTCTTTCATCATCTTCTGAGAAGCAGGGGAGTACTCATTGCTCAACTTAAAGCCCATATCTTTCAAAATATTTCTTCCCCATAGAGAAATTGGAAGTTCTAACACATAGGGTTGCATGACTCCTGAATGCCCCTCCCCATCTTTCCATTGTAACTGTCTTGTGCTCACATCTGGTGCCTTGGCATAACCCAGACCTTGCAAAGTTTGAGAGGAGACTTGTATTGGCCAGCCTGTAGGCCAGTCTTTCTTGGCAATAATGCTTCTATCTGCACCTGTATCTAGCAAGCCTAGGATCTTCTTACCGTCTACAACAAGCTCCAAGACTGGTCTTTGATCCATGTCTAGGGACAGAAATGTTAAATCTGTCCCTGTAGATCCAAACCCTTCTTTGCCTCTTTCTTTGGACTGTGCAGCAAAGCGTTCATGTAAACTGGGTAAAAGTAACAGTTGAGCTATCCTATCTCCAGGGGAAATGGCTGAAATCCTTCTTGGGGATTCAACCATGATCTTTACCACTCCAGTATAATCTAGATCAATCACTCCCGGGTGGACTCTAAGGCCTCTCAAGGCTGTAGAAGATCTTCCTAAAAGTAGCCCAACTGTACCTGGGTCAAGGGGTCCCTTAAAGTCTGACTCTATCAATTGGACCCCCATTTGGGGAGTTAATGAGAGTCTGGTGGTGGAGCAGAGGTCCAATCCTGCTGAACCCGCAGTGGCTCTCCGTGGTCCTTGGGATGATGAAGGGTTGGCCACTTCTCCTGGCTCCACTCTTTGTCCTGATTTTCTACTGCCCCATATATTTGTGGGCCCTGAGAGTGGGTGCCCTGCTGACCATTTTTTGGACAAGCACCACCATAGCCTTGAGTTAATGGTTGCCCATTAATGTCTTTTACAGAGCAGCACTCATTTGCCCAGTGTTTTCCCTTTTTACACTTAGGACACAGTCCAGGCTGCTTAGGGCATTGTCCCCCTCCTGCTTCAACTACACTTTCTCTTTCAGGGCACTGTTGCTTTAACTGCCTCATCTTGCCACACTTAAAGCAGGCACCTGAACTTCCTCTTTTATTTTGAGTTAGTTGAACTACAGCTGCTGCTAGGCCAGCGTTAGTCAATGGCACCCCCAGCTCTCTGCAGACTTTCATCCATGCCTCTAATCCTTTACTCTTATAAGGTGTAATGGCAGCCCTACACTCCTTCGTAAACTGCTCATAAAGAAGTTGTTTAATCAAAGGCATAGCTGAGTCAGGATCACCAAACACCCTCCCTGCGGCTTCTACCAGGCGAGCAACAAAGTCTGAAAATGGCTCCATGGGACCCTGTAGGATCTTAGTAAGATTGCCGCTCACTTCCCCTTTGTTAGGCAGAGATTTCCATGCCTTTATAGCAATGTGATTAATTTGCTCAAAGACTTGTACTGGGTATCCTGTCTGCTGATTAGCAAAGCGTCCCTGTCCCAGTAGCATATCTCTGTCCCAGGCCGGATTTCCTGCAGCCTGATTAGCGGCAGCCTGATCATTGGCATATTCAATTAAGAAGGCTTTCCAGTCCAAATACTGGCCTGGGCTCAGACATGCATGAGCTAGTCCTGTCCAATCACTGGGCATCATGCAGTGTCTCTGCAAGGTTTCCACTTGAGCCATAGTTAAAGAGGCTGTAATCCCATATGTTCTTACAGATCAGCCACAGACCTAATCACCTTAAAGTCTAGAGGCTCTTCATACCTATTCCCTTATGGATCTTGAAACACTAGATAGGCCAAGCGTAGTTCTGTTCTCACTGCCTTCCAGATCTCAGGGCAGAAAGAGCGCCCCATACTGCCACTCCTTCCCTCCGCATATTGGGGTTGGGGCGGATGGCATTGCTTTACCTGGGGGCGACCCACAGCGATCTCCACTTTCGGGCCTATCCTTGTCTCTCTTTTTCTCCCTCTTTCTTATTCTTGTCTTTTCCATCTGCTCTATGAGAGCCTGTAGCTCTTCCCCAGAGTCTGTAGACTCCGAGTCTTCTGACTCTGTGAGATCTGGGTACAAGTTATTCTTTGTCTTATCTCCCTTCTCACTATTTGCCTGTTCTGACCTTTCTTCCTGTAGCATCTCTAAGGCAGCCTGTCCATTCTCTACCGCCTCGCTGTATCGTTGGTCCTCAAGACAGCTTCTCACTAATTTCCAAACAGGTCTCATGCCGCCCTTAAGTGTTCCTCGATCGGCAGCAAAGTCAAGATCTCTCCCTAATTTTTCCCATGAAGGGATTGTAAGACTCCTGGAGATTTCGAAGCATGGTGCAACGGTGCAACGGTAACGCTCTCCTTTAAAAATCTTTCTAAGGTACTTTTCTTAAGTTTTAAGTTCCTAGAACGAAGCAGCTCATTCAGAGCCAAAAAAATTGGGTGCGATTGAGAAGCGCCCATAGCTAAACTAGCAACGACTCTTTTAAACTTTTACTTTCAGTTCTCTGGGCCCCGAACTCTTCCCGCTACCTCTTTGTCTACAGAGAAGAGCAAACACCCGCAAGCGGATCTTCCTGCTTTTGTCCAGGATTCCCACTTTAACCAGGAACTACCAGTGCACTTACCCTGACTGCAGAAAGTTCTGAGTCTTTACGGGCCACCACCTGTTGCAACCATCTCGACCAGCAAGGAAGATGCAACACTCCGACTCTTCTTTAAGCAGTTTATTCAGGAACCTTGAACAATCTTGTGACCCCGGGGAAAGCCCGCCCACAGCTTAAAAGCCTTTGGGTAGCCAACCCCAGCATGCCACATGGCAAATACAGACAGGTCCACATATGCAGAAGCAAGCCAGATCTTCAGCCCTAGCCAAATATGGAGTTGTTTATGTAGAGAGTGCTCACCATCGGGAAGGTAGAAGGCGGATGCCAGCACCATCTTTAAGGCGCGGCACTTCGCAGCTCTCTACAGGAGGGTGAGTGTGGGGGGCATGGGAAGGAAAGGGAACTGGGATCGATAGGTAAAATGAGAAGTATATAATATATAATATATATATATATATATATATATATATATATATATATATATATATATATATATATATATATATATATATATATTGAAAGAAAGCCAACAGGACTGCTGAACATGTGCCCATTCCTAAAGTGTGGCATGCTGGAGTAGGCATGGGAGGCCATGAGCCTGGTCCCCATCCCTCATCCTATAGAGCTCTCCATCTTAATCTTTGTGCTATCTTTTATAGTAATCCAGTAGAGGTGCTTCCCCAGGTTCTGTGATCCCATATTAATTGCCCGAGGAAGGCTTTATATTACTTACAGTGTATGGACAGAAACATAGGCAAAGTCACCTGGGCTCACAAGCACTTAAGAAGTCAGCAGAGGTAGTTTTGGGGACTGAGCTCTCCCACTGTGGGATTTGATGCTGTCTCTGGGTAGGTAATGACAACTGTGTTGAACTAGACGCCAGTCAGCCGCTGCTGGTTGTGGGGCTGATGGATTGCTTGCTAGTGGACAGAAAGCCCCACACCTTTGCTGTTGTGTGGCAAGAAACTGACTTTGTTCACAGATGGTGTCTGGCGTTTGTTTTTCAGATTTCAGTTTTCTTTCCTAAAAACAGCAAGTATTAAGTTTTTTGCACCTTTATGGGTGTCTATGTACATGCTGAAGGATTTGCATAGGTAGAAGTGTGTGTGTGTGTGTGTGTGTGTGTGTGTGTGTGAGAGAGAGAGAGAGAGAGAGAGAGAGAGAGAGAGAGAGAGAGAGAGAGAGCGCTGTGGGAACTGGTTCTTACCTCCATGTCAGTCCCAGGGATTGAACTCACACTGTCAGACTAGGCAGTCAGCTCCTCCATCTTGCTGGCCCTCTTTTTCTATTCCTTTTCATTTTTAATAGATTTATATATTTTCTTTTGTCCATGAGTATTTTTCTTGCAAATGTGTTTGGCCCCTATGTGTGTTATATGACTGATGCCCATGGAGGTCAGAAGAGACTATGGGACCTCAGAAACTGAACCTGCAGATGGTTGTGAGCCACCATGTGGGTACTGGGACCAAACATGTGACCTCTGTAAGAGAACAAGTGCTCTCAACCACTGAGTTCGCTTTCTGGCCCCTCCTTTTCTATTCTTATAACTTGAAAATGCCACCATATTACTATCAATATGGACTTAAATATTGGCCTAGGTAAGCCTGAATACAGACCTACCAGCACCCTGCTTTGATACCTTGTTCTGTGGAATGACTTGACTCCTTCAGTGACCAAACAGTATGGGAAGCCTTTCTGCACATGACAAGAACATAAGGACAGAATGTGAGAAACACCCCTCTTGGGATATGTATGACTTCATCAGACAGAAAGAAATTACCAGTTGTTTATCTCACTTATTCTTTTGAAACAGAATCTCAGTTTGTAACCTACGCTGGCATCGAACTCACAGCAATCCTCCTGCCTTAGCTTCCCAGTTTCTGGGATTTCAGAAGCGAGCCACCAAGCCTGTCTATACTAAATGTTTATAAGCCAGGCAAAAATTGTATGTTGTAAGCACAGCAGTGTTTTTAAATTTTTTTTTTTTAAAACAATATCTGGATCAGTCTGTCTAAAATATTCACTTTGAAAATCTGGATTCTTGATTTACCTTAAAATAATTAACAATGTGACCACATTAGGCCAATATGATCCTAATGCAATTTTGAAATAGTGCCAAGTGTCATCTTAGTCTTGGTAAGCTACTTCTGAATCAGTAGCATTTGTAGTGCTGATAACTGGCAGGCTGCACCTGCACTAATGGCCACGGCAATGTCCTGAGAGATGACAGACCACCAGCCTGACACTTTGCTGCACTTGAAACTGTGTTCACAGATTCTTCTCCAAGGAGAGGAAGGGGACACTGAGAAAGGGACTGTTCCTTATTTTATGATTCTCGAAGGACATATGGTTTCCACAAAGACCCACCTCTCACTTCTGCTGCTAGATCAGATGTTTCTTCCAAACCTTATGCCGACATGATCTCCTGGGCATGCAGGATCTGGGCCAGTTTCATCCACTGCTGTGGTCTGTGATTGGAGCAGGAGAAGGGACTCCAGGGTCTACAAGCTGCATGCTGTAGTTGCATTTGCAGACAGAGCAATGTCCTGAGAAATGACTTAGACTATCAACCCGATCCTTTCCCATTCTTTAAATTGTGCTTACAGAATTTTCTCCAAGTGAAATTTTCTGTTTACCATAGAGGTCCCGCTGTACAGTTAACTGTCCTCTATTGCCTCTAAATTAAACCCAAATGACCCTGTTGACAGAAAATCTGAGTGTCAAAGGCCCATTTACTTGAAACAGGAATTTAATGAAAACACATGTCAAGGAACATACCCTGAGTTCCCAAGGTGAGTTTTGTCTTTAGTGTTGAACACTGCTGAATACAGGCTTGTTCTATTATTTTATTCATTTAAACATCTTATCAGGGTCATGGAGGCAACCGAACTGTTGACTAATGTCATTATGCCATTACTTGTAATTAAGGATGTTGTCAGATAACAGTCCCAGGGAAGTTGTTCTGCCCTGAGATAAAAAGAACTGTTGAGGACATTGGCCACAGGGTTTGTTTCTCAATGGCACTTTGAGGGCCAGCACTGGTTGTTTTCTAAGTGTGCCCACTCCTGTGTACCTGCACGTTAGCTGCTGCCATGGGGACAGCATCCACCAGGAAGAGCCTGCACCCAGCTTTCCCTGACTCAGTGGCAGCAGTGAGAATGGCAAGGGTGAACTTGCAAAACCACCTGGGGAATTCTACAGTAGCATGGTAAATGTGAATTCAATGGATGGAGGAGACTAAAGTTAGCTCAGAAGCCTTTGGTGAGACAGGAGGTGGGCGTGGGGCAAAGACAAACCAGGGTGGAGCCGAACTGGAGGCTCCTTCCCTGCTGGCTAGCTTTCACAGTGCCAGAAGGTGATCTGCAGGCCACCAGGGGAGGCACAGTCACTGATGGGCTTAGCTGTGAACTGTGGGAGCTCCACCACCAACCCGTCAGGAAAGATGTCTGCACAGGTGCACAGTGTCATGACTGTTGAGGGCAACTACTGCTACTGCGTTGGATCTGGGGCCTGCTGGAGGGGACTCATGGCTGCTCTGTAAACATCATCCAAAGCCTGTCTGCGAGGTCACAGCCGGCAGGGGATGGTTGCAGACTCTTCTGTGGTGTTTTACTAAATGGCATGCTGCTGTGCTGCCTCCTAATGTTTGTGTTTATGTCCGTAGATTAGCGCTGCTTTTGCAGTGGCCATCAGTTAATGCAGAGATTCACAACTGGACAAAGGGTGAGAATAAATGACACTCAGTGCTCAGCCCAAAGAGACATCTCTTTCCTCCCCCTCAGGACTCAGGGAACATTGGGTAATGGGTGGGGTGGGAGGAGTAAGAGCAGAAGTATGGTGAACAGTGCTACAAAATGCTGTCTTTTGCAAGACCATTGTATTCATGGACTCATGGCAGCCATGGTTACCTATACAATATTGAGCCATCAATTATCCAGCATGAGGTCCCCTCTCGCTGAGGTGCTTCAGCAATTAATGGCTGCCCCGACCCGTGGGGCAGTCAACAACAAACTGGGGAACACCTAGAAGAAAATGAGGGACAAGGGACACGAAGAATGGACAGCAAGACAGTATTCTGATCAAGCTGACATTTTATTTTTTCATGGGCGGCTTATATAGGATCGTGGGCAGGATGTTAGCAGGGTTTGCACATAACCAGGGCATGGGCAGTGGCAGGTAGGCAGAGTGAGAAGGTCAGTAGAGGGAATGCCCTAAATTGTTTAGCTAACCTGTAATTGGCTGTAAATTGCAGCAGGAGAGAGAGCCCTGAGCTATTCTTCAGCTGGCTGTGAAACTGCAAGCCTCTACCTTGGAATGTTCTGCCGAACATCCTGTTTATTTTTTAGGAGGCAGGAATTTTCTATCTCAGATACCCGAGGTTGTGAAGATAGTGATGGTCCCCAGCAGGAGCCATTTTTCTTCAGTGGTGTAGCCCCTGGTAAGTTACCCATGCTTCAGTAAATAACCCCACAACCATGTTCATGCAAGCAACCCTTACTAAACTCAATGAGTTGTTAAAACAAACAAACAAACAATGACATGAAAGTAGGCAGGGTCCTTGCTGGGAAGGAAAGGGGGACCAAGAGGGAGACAGAGGAGGGGGAGGGAGAAAGAGAGGATAATGGAGGATGAATATGATCAAACACATTATATCATGAATTGAACTGTCAATGGATAAGTAAAAGCACTAAAAGCAAACCGAAAAGCACCCGGAACAAACAACTACAATGTATATTCAAGAAAATTATCTTCCTATCAAGAATATTATAAGTCTTTATAGACTGGAAGATAATATGCTACAGTCATGACAGTTTCATTTCCTTCCTTTTGACAAAGACCTCTTGTGCTGATGTGACCTGGGTCAGTCACAGTGACAACAGGCCACTCTCAACTTTTCTCCCCTTGTCTCCCAGCTCCCTGTGAAATCTGTTGAAACAGCTGAGGTAAGACCCAGGCCTGTAAGACAGGCTGAGCCTGTGGAAAGATGGATGAAGCGCATTCTTGAGATACGAGACTGGACAAAGGCTGGAGGGACCACTGCCATGGCTTTACATGGTTTCCTAAGACATCCAGAACAAGCAGCTTTTTCTGAGGGACTTTTGTAAATCTTGTAATCTCTTTCT